GTTTGGGAGGAAAATGACCTGGGTTTCTAGTATGTATCAAACCATGGTTAAGGACTTGAGCTCTGAAGCAGGACAATCTAGTTAGCAGATTTAATTTCTAACTGGGTTTCTAAACTGTGCCTCTTCTGTACACTGGGTATAATAATAATGCTTACCTCAAAGGGTTAATGTGAAACAACAGTGAGATCATGTACTAAAATATTTAAACCTAATACTCTGGCTCAAAGAACAATGTATGGCATAATTATTCTAATTCCAGCCCCTTTTTTACTAGCTGTGTGACCTTGAGCATGTTACTTAACCTCTCTGAGCCTGCTTCCTCATCTACAGAAAGAAATAATTATTCCTGTGGTGGTAAATTGTCAGGAAGAATTTGATGAGCTTGTACATGTATTTAGAATGGTGCTTGGCAATAGGCAGGTGTCCAATATGATTCATTCTCCTACTTCCCTTTAGACATCAAGTTGTTCTGTCTAATATGACACAGCCACAGGAGGCCTCGAAAGAGGGAGCAGGAAGTCTGACTTCCAGGCCCAACTCTGCCAGTTCCTTGCTGTCAGGTGGGAATCAAGCCCTTTCACTTTCTGAGCCTCAGTTTTCTACATAAAGAGTAAATTAGACAGATGAAGTTCCTGATACACTCACTATAAGAACTTAAGAAATGAGAGTAGCTGTGGTTTTGGCACTGGAACTCAAGAGGCCCAAGGGAGCTGGCAGAAGCAGCTGGGCCACTGGAGTCCTGGGGAAGGGGAGGGGCCCGGACCTTCTGTACGTGGTTGATCTCATCATGCTTGCGTTTTTGGTTTCGAGTTATCTTGCGCTCAGGCTGCTCAGCCAGTTCACTCAGGTACTTCTCCGAGTTCTTCTGTACAGCATCCTTCACTGTCTTGGTCAGTGCCAGCCGGTTCTTATCTACCCATTCGTCCAGTCGCCTGTTAACTGTTAGGATAGGCCATGAAGGTATTGTCCTGCCACTTCCTCCTCCCACCCAAGCCGAGAGGCCCCAAAGCACTCACAGCCCACATAGTGTACATAGAATTCCTCTCGGCCCTCCTGGTCATTCACTCGAGACTGGATCACTTCTGCAGAATCTATAAAGAAAAAAGGCTAGGATCATCAGGAAATGTTAAAACAAGAGGGATCCGATACATTGTGGAGCAGTTTTCAGGTTTTTAGCAGTTTCCAGATTCATCTGTCCACATCCAACATTGCATTTATACCCTTCACAATCCTGAGGTGAGCCAGGTTGGAGCTGTTATTCCTATTTTACAGATGAGGAAAAACAATGAGGCTTACTCAGGGTCATAGATTTGAAAAGTGATAAGAACTGATACTTAACTGAGTTTAGCTCTGACTCCAAATTTCAATGTTCATTTTACTGTGTACACTCAGTAATTCATTTGTTTGGGGGACATGAGGGCTGGCACAGCATTAACACAACCTGAGTTTTATAATTCTTGCTCCCCATTTCCTAGCTAAGTGTAACTGAGCAAGTTGTCTTGACTTCCTGAGCCTCAGTTTCTTCACATGGAAATAGGAATAATAGTGCCCACCTCAGAGTTAATGCCTCCAAAATTTTTAGCGCAGTGCCCCACAAATAGTATACATTCAATTAATAAAGAAACCACTGTGTGTTTGGTCCTACACTGTATTTTTGCTGGACACAACACTGAATCACAAGAGATCTTGCCCTCCAGAAGTTCCCAGTTTGATGGGGGAGGATTCCACAAACAGAGGATTACAACATTATGTTACCTATTCCATGACTGAAGTATGAAAAGAATGTAGAAGGAACATACAGATGGGAACAACTCACTTTGCCTGAAGGCAGTTAAGAATGGCATCACAAAAGATACAAGCTAAAAGAATGACAGGAGAAAGGGAAGACATTCCAAACAGAGAGCAGGGTGTTAAAAGGCACATGGTTTTTCGGAGCCAATAGCATGTTCTGGTCTAGCAATGGCCTTTTTGGGGGTGGCTAGAGACCAGAGAGGACACAGAAATAAATGCCACTCTAATAATAAGTTGAAGTTTATTTTGAAGATGACAGAAGATTATAGACCACAAAGGAAAAGGTGTTCTGGAAGGTCCTCTTTACTACAGGGGAAGACAGAAGGGAAAGTCAGAGGCAAAAGAGACCAGTGGAAGCAGAGTTCGCAAGAAAAGAAAATGAAGGTTAATATTTAGCAAGTAAGTGGAACAGGAGTTCTGTATATACTAAGATCTTCGATATACCCTTACGGGTGGCTTTGTAGGAGGCACACGCTTAATGAGAGAATGACAGCCTCCATTACTGGGCTGGTTTCTCAACCCAGGCAACTCCGAGTTCTTACTTAGAAGTTCAAAGCCCCGCCCCCGCCCCGCCCCCCACAGCTAAAACCCCCAGGCTCTAGGCTTTAAGGAGGGTAAGCTCTCAAGTCACGCCCACCACACAGCCCGCCCCTGGGCCCCGCCCTCACGCCAGGTGCTATCTGGACGCCGGCACAGGTACGTTTCTCCGATCTCCACTGTGACTTCTGGTTCGCCGCGCGCAGGCGTCGGCGGAGAGACGCGGCCCGGGGATGGGGCAGTCCCCTCGACCGCTGCATTCTCCCCGGGCCCGGGCTCGCTCTCCCCTACGACCCCCGAAGTCGCTGCTGCAACCGCTGCAGCAGCTCCCTGTGCCGCCATGGCGGTGGCGGAAGTGACCCCAGAGTGTAGCGCCGCGTAGGATTTTTAGCTCCGGGTCAGCCGTGCGTGGGGGCGGAGCCTCGCGTCTGGAGGTGGGGTCTGTGATGTGGCAGAAACTAATTGGTTCCTGCGGCCTGCTCTGCTGCGCTGCTGCTGTCCGTAGGCCCGTGGTGAGGGTGGGCCTGAGTTCCTGATTTTCTGTGAGGTGACAGTTTTTCCTAATGTGATGACTCAGTTATTTTTTAAAAGGCTCTAATGCTGCCAAAATGTGTCCGTTTTCAGGGGTGCTGTCCTCACTAATGGGACGAAGCCAGAACGGTCTCCTCGGTTGCGGAGCTTCGGGATTAAGTCTGGAATTAGCAGTCCCCCACTGCGCGGCTCAATTGCGCAGGCTTAGTACCGGCCACCTCATATTTGAAGATTGAAGAGACTGCTTCTCTTGTTCAAGGTGGGAAAAAGATACAGTTGAGGTGGAGAAAGAACGGGTTTCCGGGGTTAGTAAGTAGCTTCAAAATAAAGGCAGCGGATACAATGAAGAACGTCTTGGCTATGAGTTAAGGAATCTTTTGAGTTTGGCACCTCCTTGGGTAATATGACAAGTATGTAGATGCACTGAGAATCGGCAAAACTTAAACCGATGTGTGTATGTGTGTACATAGATATATACACATACATGCTTGTATATATCTCTGTATGGTTAAGCTATACAGAACTGTATAAACCATAACATCTTGTCTGTATATGAAGCCGAACATTAATCTGGCGCCAGACTGCTTATTTAGCATCACATGACCCTGATCTTCCACAGTAATTAATTTAAGTATTTTTTCTACTATTATCCCAGTGGTGATCCGCAGAAGGGCTACTCTCTCTAGCCTGATCGTTGTATAATAGGCAGGAACTACATGTGGGCAAATGAATAAATAACAATAGCCTTAGGGAAAAAAATGATCTTTTGTCTTGTTTTGTTTAGTATCAGGGGGCATTCGACCACTGAGCCACATCCCTAGCCCTGTTTTGTATTTTATTTAGAGACAAGAGTCTTGCTGATTTGCTTGAGGTCCCCACTAAGTTGCTGAGGCTGGCTTTGAACTCACATTCCTCCTGTCTCTGCCTCCCAAGCTGCTGGGATTACAGGCATGTGCCACTGCAACCGGCTACTGATGTTTGTTGAGATTTGCAGAACTAAGAAACACTAGGTGATTTGGCCATAAACCTACACCTGTGAAAAGGTGCCTACCAATATGTGATCACCCATCTCCTATATGAACTGCCTCTAAATTGGCTTCCTGGCAAGATGTCTCTTTAGGGATAAGAATCTCTATCATCTTCTAGTCAGCTAACTTATTAGAAAAAAAGTTCTTTACAATGGTATTTTCTCTCAACTAATTGGCTTCTGTCATGAGGCAAGCAGACTAAACCTGTGTGAGGTAGCTCATATAACAATGTATAGTGCTAGGCAGAGTAGGTACTCGGTGAACATTCTCTTTAGCCATCCTTTGAAAGTTCCTGGATACAAAATTTAGTTACTGGACTTCAAAACAATTCTTAGAAGAGTAGAATTCTTGGGGCCTGAGGATGGGGCTCAGAGATTATAGCACAAGCAAAATCTAAGAGGTGTCTGTAGGGTCAGAAGTGGGAATGGCTTTAACTTAGCCTTTGTGAAATAAATGAAGGAGTTGGGGGTGTAGTAAGAGTTCAGTGTCTGGCAGCATAAACAGAAAAATGAGTCAGGAAGGAGTTGCTAGGTGCAGTGATGCACACCTGTAATCCCAATGTAATCCTGGATGGCTGAGACAGGAGGATCACAAGTTCAAAGCCAGCCTCAGCCACTTAGTGAGACCCTGCCTCAAAATAAAAAATAAGGGTCAGGTTGGGGAAGAACCAAGTTGTAATGCTCTCTCCCATTCCAACCTATCTTTAGAATTGTTACCTCACTGATGCCTCACTTAATACTTCACCTGACATCTTCAGGTATAGATGATGTTCTTTCTAGTTAATGATTAGCCTAAGCTTTATAAATCTCTGATCAGGGTCACTGTATCAGCCTTTTCACCATGCTTCCTCCAATCCAATGGCCATTAATGATGCAAATCTGACTGTTCCTTCTGGAGCTTTGTAGGGCTGCAATTTGTTTATGTGTTTTGTTACTGGGGATTGAATCCAGGGCCTCTTTGCCACTGTGCTACATCTCCAGCCCTTTTAATTTTTTGAGACAGGTCTCATAATATTGTTAGGACTGGCCTTACACCATCGCATGCCTGTAATCCCAGCGGCTCAAGAGACCGAGGCAGGAGGATTGTGAGTTCAAAGCCAGCCTCAGCAATTTAGCAAGGCCCTAAGCAACTTAGAAGACCCTATCTCAAAATAAAAAACAAAAAGGGCTGGGGATGTGGCTCAGGGGTTGAGTGCCCCTAAGTTCAATTCCTGTTGTTTTTTGTTTGTTTGTTTTGTTTTTTAAAAAGGCCTTAAACTTGTGATCCTCTTGCCTCAGCCTCCTCAAGTCACTGGGATTATAGGCATGTGCCACTGCACCCAGCCCAGATCCTGAGATATTTTTAATTTCTGTATGTCCAGATTACTTGCACTGTCCTTCCAAAGGCTAACACCTGAGGCTCTTTGACAACTGTCTGAGGTCTTGCCTGAAAAAGCTGAAAACAATTTTCAACCCAAGTTTAAATTCTTTCCTACCCCGACTTCCCAACACAGGCTTTAACCATTAACTATCAAGTGGAGGAATTAATGAGTGGAGCTTAACTCTCTTACTTTTACCGTAAGGCATAATTTACTGGCCCTGGACTTTAGCCCAAGATCACATCCTTGCTTGGTTTCTCCCCTTCTTTCCTGCCTCTCCTACTCCCTTTTGGAAGACACTTTCTTTACAAATCACTTGGACATAAATCCTCCTCTCAGGGTCTGCTTTTAGGGAATCCAAAGTAAAACATCCCTTCCTAGCATAAAACCCACCAATGGATCCCTACTGCCTCCAGGTTAAAGCCTATGCTTCAAGGCCCTACACCTTTTGGTTGCTGCCTCTCTCTCCAGTTCCACCTTTTGCTCTGCAGCCAGCAGGAATTTCAGCATACCAAGGCATTGTGGTTTCCCACCATCTGCCACTTGCTGTCTCCCCTCAGTCTCCCACCTCCATCACCCTGTGGGGTAGGAGATGATATAGGCCTACAGCCTCAGGAAGTTAGCTGTCAGGGCTCAAATGTGAAGGCAAGAGAAAGAGGTCCAACTCTTTTCCCCAGTCCCACCAGGCAGCCTCTCCGGCCTTTCTTCCCTGACAAAGGAGGTAGGATGCTCCCAACTGAGTCTTCACTAGAGTTACTCTTCTCACAGGAAGTTCTGCCTCAAGTCTAACACTGAGCCCTCTTATTATCTGGAGTCCTTTCCTTTTTCCCAAGTCCCTAACTCTTGCTACTAGGGCCCCACCTTCCTCTGTAGTGGGGCACCAAGTCTCTGCTGAGGCCTGCCAGGACACAACCTTGTGTTCCTTTCTTGGCAGCCACAGATGCAGCTGGCAGGTGGTATTTTTAACCTTACTCAGGCACAGGAATCAGGTGGCTCTGGGGATTGCCCAGTCTGGTGACCTTCACTTCTAAAATCTGTGACTTCCATGAAGGGAAGAGTCAGAACTCTGCGTTTACCTAGGCCTTCAAAATTGGCTGGGACCCAGAAACACTTGTTAAATGAGATGAATGAAAGATCTTTGGTTAAGCTGCCCTCACTCCTGCTAAATCAAACCAGGAGACTTGGGGCCAATTGTACTCCTGTCTACCAGGTTTCAGAACAGTTAGAAACTGGGACATGAACTAGTTAAACCCAAGAACTCAGGGAATCTGAAAGGGGACAGAAATGAAAGTTTGCCCACCCTCCCCATATACAGGGCCCAAGAAGGCATTCAAAATGTGAACTTTAATAACAAATAACATGTCAAAGTAGGGGTTCCCCAGGAACAAGAATGACAGAGCTGTTGTTAGAGGCCTCAGAGGTCCCTGTTTCCTCCCCTTCAAGGCTGGGGGCAAGGAAGTAGTGAGCTCTCTTGAGAAGGAGTGGCACCCAGTTCCATGTAAGTCCATCTGTCTTGTCTGGGGCCCTAAGACCCAAGATGCAGCAGTATGTGGAGCAGAGTGTCACCCTGCCTGACCCAAGGTCCTGGCAAGGAGTGTGGCCCAGCTTGGGCGGGCAAGCAGGCCAAAGGTTGTACAGTCAGATTCGGAAGCTTTCCTCCCGGCCGTCGATGTGGCGGAGCCGCAGGTAGACATCTGTGCCAATGCCCTGCAGGGACTGCAGCTGCAGGGAACCACCGAGGTACTCGGCGTAGGCCCGTGATGTGGGCAACCCGAAGCCAAAGCTGGGGGTAGGCAGGGAAATAGAATAGGGAGCTTCAGAGGCCTGAGTTCCCTTGGGTTGTTCCCCATCCCCAGTTGTGCAGGCGGGTGGGGGAGCCTCACCCATGCATGGGTCCTGACTGGCCACCACTGTGCATGTCCAGGTGGCCGAAGAGTGGGCTGATTCGGGGGTCCTGGGTGCTGGCCTCAGCTGTAGTGAAGTGGTAGTCCATGACCCTATCCAAGTCTTTGTGAGCAATGCCTCCACCCCGGTCTGAAATTCTGGCAGGGTTTCAACAACATTGGCTCAGCCCAGGTTTGATAGGGTCTTACTCTACCACCCAAGGAAAGAGTGCTAAATTTGATTTCCTGTTCCTTCCACCCCAATATGGAATGTGGTCCACCTTGACCCTTGGGCCTTGTTTGTTTAACCAACTTTTCTCCATCCTCACCTTTGCCTGGGCCACTGCCTGCTTATACCTTCTCAAGGGATTTGGTATTTATTCTTAGCCCAGCCTCAAAGACTGGTTTCCCCATTCTAGGGCCCTCAGTTACTGATAGAGGCAAGGTCCTGGGAACCATAGCTGGCTGTAGATCCATTAATATCCAGTTCATGGCAATCTGAGAACCAAATAATATCTTTTATGACCAGGGTCCAAATCCCAAAGAGGGGCAGGTACTGGCTCAAGGTTCTACAGCAAAAC